CCACAGGTGTGCTTATCCCCTGTAGAGAGACACACACACACACACACACACACACACACACACACACACACACACACACACACACAATCTGGTAGAGCTATCTTTATGGGGACCTTGCATTGACATTTATTATTTTCTACAGGCTAACCCTGACCACCAACCCTAACCTCACAGGTACCTACACAACCCTAAAATTAACCTAAACTCAATTTACATCTTAGTCCTAAACTTAACTCCCGACTCACCAATGGCGTTTCCTCTTAGGGAGACTAGACTCAGGTCCCCATAAGTAACATTAGGTCCCCACAAGTAGGTGTGTATACCAAAAAAAAAAAAACTGTCCCACAACATAGGGAATACCAGTTCCAAGAAAATGTTCTCACCTCGTTTGTTAAAATCATATGATGGTCCTCACTCTGTAGCTGAAGAAACAAGCACACACACAGGCACACACATTATGTTCCACTTCTATTTTAGGAAAAAGAACTGAAGCTGCTGAATTTTACAGCAATGAGATAAATGTAAATTACAAGTTTTGGGGGACCTTTTGGAATCTGCTCCTTCTCTCCGTCAGAGTCTCACCTCTTCCTGTCCTTGTCTGCATCCCTGTTCCTGTCCATGAGCACCTGCTGTGCTGTTCAGGTGAGTCTGCTGCAGGCTGCTGGCATCAACCGATGGGATATTGAGAGCAGCTCCCATAGGGGTGCACTCACTGTATGCTCCAATATGCATCCTCTCTGTCTGAGTGAGGGGGCTTWGGTCAGGCTCAGCAGGTGGGAGAGGAGGAGGAGAGGATGAAGGGTTTGGAGGGGTAGAAGCATCACCCAGTTCCACTATCATCTCTTGGATGGTGGAAACCACCTCCGCCCAGTCCATCCCCGCTATAGTCCTTTCAAACTCTTCGATCAGGTGCATGTTGGAGGCAGAGGCGGTTTCTGATTCACTCATGGAGATCTTTCAAAAGATTGATGGTCTGATGTCAGAAACTCAGAACTGCTGTACAGCCTCATTTATCAAACATTATTCATCATCTGATAACTAACTGTGATTACTGCAGCAAGAAACATCCAAGCTGAAGAACAAAACTTTATTTCAGTATTCTTTATGTCTGCAGCAGCAGACTGTTTCAACCAGAGTTGTAAAGTAACTAAGTACAAATACTTTGTTACTGTACTTAAGTAGAATTTTTGGGTGTCTGTACTTTACTTGAGTAATTATTTTTCAGCATACTTTTTACTTTTACTCATAACTTTTTTACACAATTATCTGTACTTTCTATTCACTACATTTTTAAAAAGGTAAGAAGTAGAAAGACGTTACTGCTGTTTTATTCTGAGTTGCTATTACTTAAAAAATACTATCCTGATAAATTGTGTCTCCTGGATAGAGTGAATTTAATTGTGGTTGGATGAGAAGTATAAATATATACAGTACCATTCTGACACTGTATTAGCTTGAACACAACCCATCACAGCTGCACACCATTAAAAAATGTTTTTGAGAATTCCCCTCCCAATAAATGTAATTTTGGAAAATATAACTGCTCACTTTTACTCAGTACTTTTACTT